GTGTGTGCATTACTAGGCCATATATTGTGTTCCTGTTTCAGGTATAAACACAAACCCTCACAGAGACTATACAGACTTTTCAATTTGTACACTCACAACACAGGAAATTGCTCATCTTCTTCCTTCCTTTGATGCTATCAAAAGGGATTGAGTTGATGGAGCTCAGAATGATTTATTGTGTGCAGTCTTTCTCCTCCTGTCTCTCTGTAGCTTTGGGGAGAATTGGATATCATTTATGTTCCTAAGAAACCAAAGCCTTTCTCAGTAGTTTGGTGCGGGATAATAGAAAGTGTGTTTTGAATTTACTGAAGCTGAGAAGAAGTTAAGCATACACAGAAAAAATAGACATACCAAATACCAATGAATGACACGATTGCTGTTTTTTCAAAGCATAAAAAGGTGACTTGCTTCACAGATAAAGGGAAACAGAGGGACTATGATGATTTTGCTCCAGGCTAACGTGCAAACCCAATTTAAACTTCATGTCCATTTAAATCACAATGACAAGGCAAAATTGGACACTCTGAAAATATATTTTTTACAATTGCTTCAATGACTTTGAAAGTATAAAATACATAAAATACTGTCCAACTGAGCTCCTCGCAGACCAGGTGTCCTTCAGACTAGCCTCCTATTCCCCCTGCAGATCGGCTGTCTGCTCTGTCACCCTGAGAAAAAAGACTGCACTGCAGGGTCATAAATTGAGCTGGTCCTGTTTTGGCCTTAGAGAGACACACACGTGTGCACACACACACACACACACACACACACCCACACAAACATCCATCAGTGCATGTATCTTTAAAGCAGGTACAGTGGTTTAAGTTGCACTGATGTGCAGAATATTATGTTTTTTTATGGGAAGTAAACCATTGAACAGATAACTATATTGAAGAGTTTTAATTGCATATGTTAAAACAGCTCTGTGCTACATGAACATGCTCCTCTACATGAAAACCTCAGTGACAGAGTTAAGCCAAGCTAGTAGTACAATGAATCCAATGACAATACGAAAAGAGCTCATTTTTTACCTGTACAGACCTCAAATATTGGCACACTCTCGTTTGAAAAAAATCTGGAGACAAGCTGACAGTAGAGTGAATACTCACAAACAATGTCTTGAATAATCAGGCCCCATCTTATCTTAAAGACCTCATAGAGCAATATCACCCCAGCAGAGAATCTGGCTCTCAGACTGCTAGTTTGCAATTTTGGGAGGCAGAACCTTCAGCTTTCAAACCTCTCTTCTGTGGAACCAGCTCCCAGTTTTGATTGGATAGTTTCTATACTTTTGATATTAGGGTTTAAACTAAATAAACTTAAAACACCAGTCATTAAATGCATTTAATCATTAGTTATTAATAATCGTTGGATCTCTTCCACAGTGTGTCTTTTGACCTGGCAGCCTCCTGGCCCTCCCTCAGCCTGGTTCTGCCAGAGGGTTCTTCCTGTTAAAAGAGAGTTTTTCCTTTTCACTGTCACTAAGTGGTTGTTCATAACTGAAGAAACTGAATTTTATTTAATAAAATACTTGTTTTTACAACAAGAAAACAGAAAACAAAGGCTATA